TTATAGGTTGTCAATTCAAGAATTTTGACTTTGCATTTGCTGGAAAAAGGTAACAGTGTTTTATGCATTTATTTGTGTATTTATTTGCGAATTTATTTGTGTATTAGGTGTGACAAGCCTCTGATTTGTAGCCGGGAAAACTCTGAGAAAAAATCAAAACTTCGACCAGTTTCAAATAACGGTTTTACTAATTCGATATTCTTAAACGATAAGGTAATTCCTTCGATAGTGTACAGTATAAATACATAGTACAAATCCTATAGAACGAAATCGGTTACCAACGATAGCAATGAAGGAGACAGAGAGCGCAATATTCCGAACTTTATTCTTAAACAAAACAGTTGTGAAACGAATCGAAAATCTCCCCTCATTTTGTCAGTCAACGAACACTTCCTCGGTGGCAACTCTCGAGAATTTACCGCATTTATCTTGCACAGTACTATCATGTTAGTCTTTGGCAGGTAGGTACTGTAATTTCATGGATAGGTAAAACCCGATCTGGTAACCATATAAACCAATTCAACGCAAAAAGCAGAAAAACCAAAGTCACGATTTTAATTGGTATCTAAACACCACAGTCCTGATGTTAGAGTATATTTGTTTTGGACTCTCTTCCTATCAAAGAAGAAGCATGAATTTTACTATCAGTCCAATCTGAAACACCTCATATTTTCCTTGGTTGGAGTAGGGATAATTTCGCTTTTTGTATCCATTAAATCAGTTACTGAGACTCTCAAATATGATATTTTTATATGTGTGCTAAACGTAAATGCCATTTTCAATGCCACAAATACAATTATTTCATGTTAGTTATTTTCTCTCATTTTTTACTTTGAGTGAGAGTTTAAATTTGTGTTGTTTAAGACCATCCTCGCATAATGACAGCGACAAAATTTAGTTTGCTGGAATAATTTACCTGTAATGTTAATTTAACAGACCAGGAGTTAACAAGTCGTACCGCCTCTGGCAATCATTAAAAATCAATATCCAGAATCAAACTTTGTCGTCAGTTACTGGTGCAAAATTGTTTCTCATCATCCGTTATTGTATAGTTAATTTCGTCTAAATATATCGGCAGCTTTGTATGGTTAATCGTAGATTAGACTTTTTCTCGTGTATGAAGTCGGACAAATTATTACTGCCGAGGTAGATTGGGGTAAAACTTTTGTATCACATTTGAAATATTATGAATGTACTATTATTTTGATCACGTTTCTAAATGACAGCTGAGTGATGGGCTCCTGTGTATGACTTATACATCCTTATATTTTTTCAGAAACCTCATTTTTCCCATTTTGGTTAGGTTTCGTATATATATTTTTTTTCGCTGAGATACATTTTCGTCTAAATAAAGGGGGTAAGTTTCTAAGTTTCTAAAGAAACTGTGGTGCTGCGTCGGTGGGAGAGTATAGCAGGTGATTTAGTGTTTACAACTGTGTTAAAAGGCTGACGTTTCGAGCGTTAGCCCTTCGTCAGAGCGATTGACGAAGGGCTAACGCTCGAAATGTTAGCCTTTCTAATTTGTGATGTACCATTAAAATACGAAAGTACATTTCAAAGTTAATCCTTTTTAAACACAAAAACATTCAAAGATCTTATTAAAACACTTAAATGGTCACATTTTAATATCATTTTCATCACTAAAATCCCTGTTTGTTTTCTACGTCATGCAATGGTTTAAATTTAGAACACTCGTGATAAAATAGTGTTCAAATTACAGCCGGTCGTGAAGAGCGAATGTTTCATGCAGCATTTGAGGAAAATTCTATCGATTTTAACTTCGCGAGTGTCATTGAAAAAGCGCGAGCACTTGTTCCACACACTAAAATATCTCAACCACTCATCACATATCACACATGGCGCGCCATATGGATCACGTAACACGAATCACGCTTTGATACTGATGATCTTATCACAATTTGATCTTATCGAAACTCGTAAAACGTGTTGAGGAATAATGAACGGTCCTGCGATCGGAATGTTCTAAGGGTTTCCGCGGCTATCTTTAGAATCTCAATCGCATTAAACTGCACTTGAGAAAGTACATAATTCTCAACAAATTTCGATATACTTGCTCGGCGTGCAGTTGAATTCAAGGTCAGCATGTAACGAATATGAAGCTGTGAAACCTAAAGAGCAGGAATGTACAAATGTAAGGTAAGCTCATATCAATAACATTTGGCACTGATCTTAGAGAGCAGCTTTGTCGGAAAACGAACATCATTGTTGTCTACATAGCGAAATTCAAATAGTCGTCGTACAGTGCACAAATACTAGTACAAATCATGAAAATAACTTTCAAAAACATTTGACAGAAAGTTGATTTCTTTTTCCCTTTTATGGCTATTCATATTTCACAACATTTTCGTGCTTTGCTAAGTTTCAGAAAGTTCTCCGGTTTAATTTAATAATCAGCTCAGAATAATGAACGAATAACCAAGTGTTACGTGATATTCGATCATTTTACCATAAATGCATCGAGATGCAACTATTTTTATAAATTGTCGTTGCTGAGTAATCAGTCAACCGAACGCGATTTCCTGTCACGAACTATCATTATTTCTTGCCACAGCCACACAAAAGGGTCCCTTGCTTTGTATTTTTCACGTTCTGTGAGTGAGAAACAGAACACGAGCTTTATCCTTAGGGGAGTAATCTCCTTGTTTGAATTGGAGAGAAAGGTCTACACAAAACGAGAGAAATTATTTAACGCTGGAGGGGAACAAGTTGTACCTGTAATGGCTCGACAAAATGCGTAGACTGTCTGGCGTCGCGTCGTATCTTTGGAACGAGTGTAAGGTTTGCTCCGAACTTAAGCCAAAAATTAAACTACCTTTTTTTTTCGTAGAGTGGGTATTAAATGGCTTAACTAATTCAATTTAAGTATGAGCAAACTCTTATTTTTACACATGTAAAACCAAAACAAAGAAAATGGCTTGATTGAAGCAAAGATGCTACCCCACTTTTACATTCCCCGTAGCTAGAGGCGGGCCCCCTAAATCGTGACGTAATAAGCACTTAAAGCCAAACACGTGCCCGTAGTGAAGCAGAGCAAACTAGTGACTACTCAGGAAGCAGGTTTGTCCATAAAGTTGAGACTTTTATTATTTTCCGAGAGTTGTTCTTGGAGCTAAAATCTCCTTGTCAAATGTATCTACTGAGCTATGTCATGGCCCATGTCATTTCGTAACATTTGTTCTTCTGTCAGGGTAAGTCACACCGTATCAAGATAAGCGACTGTGTTACCAGTTTGTTGAGAGAACTTCATACCTAAGGGTGACCGACATACAGTGCGTTATTCATCACTACCGCATATTAGTGGAAACGATCGCTAAGATAAAATACAACTCTCCTTAGGCAGCTACCCGTGTGAAATTAAAGATGATCAGATAAACTGTCGGGATATTTTTCCCCGACTCCTTCGCATTAAAAAAAATGGCTATTGCAGATCAATAATCTTTATTTGATATAGAAAACTTCACTTAGTCTAACATCACTTGAAATTACGGTTGTAGTATAATTTGAATTCAGCACTAACCCTCTGAATTTGGTATAAAAATTTTGTTCCACGACAAAGTTGCGCTGAGTTCGACTCATCGGCTTGAATCTCAATTATCAGGTACTGGCGCGTATCATCGATATTTGATGATATCAGACACGTATATTTGATGATTAATATTTTCTGTAACGAAAATAGTTACATAGAGGTGACATTTTGTGGTTATTTGTTTTTTTTTTACCCAGCATAACAAAGAATAAGTGAGAAATGGCAACTGTGATAGGATTTTCTTCTTTTCTTATAACCTTTTACCAAATAGTGAAGAATAAAACTACAAGCGTGCAAGTTTTGGTCAGGAAGCAGCTATAATTCATATATCACACGATTTCGTCTTATCGAAGCATTCGAGCTTGTCGCCCTTTCTCTTCGCCAAAGGATGAAGTTCCTTTGGCACAAGAGAAGGAACTATCGCGGGCCAGCGCATAATTTCTGCAGCAAGCGCAAGAAACCAGTTTCTAATTCCCACTGAACAAAGTACCTTCTTTCCAAGACACAAAACATTTTCTTTTAAAAACCTGCAGGGGCTAAGTGGCGGCCGAGCGTGAATTACGATGAAATTCTCAGCAAATATGATCGATCATAAGTGACTAATAGTAATCCCGCGCAAAATCTTGCTACCCACAGTTGAGGAGTTGATACCACGATAAAATGTTTTCCGGAAAGGAGGGGGCAACGGGCGGAATGAACTATCTTCAAGCAGCTCATTCCTCCTACAGACAATAATATTGTCTCATTGTTTTCAGGCTCTCCTGTCTCTCTCATTTCTTCCTTTGTCTAACCCCTTCAGTTTTTCGCTCGCGCACTCTTTTGCTTCCTTCCACCATTGAGCGCCTGGCCAACGGGTTAGAGCAGGAGAAACCCTGAATGTTATTAACACTCAGGCCTCCCTCGGAGCGCTCTAGTAAATTTTTCACTCTGTTTAAAGAGGACAGAGGCATGCACCCTCCCCTTGGCTTCGCCTTTGTTTGAATGAATCACCGTTAATTGCAACCCACCTGCTCAACTTTGCGGTTTCAGAGATGGGCAATCATGAATATCCAAACCTTCATAGATATTCTTATGTCCAAGTAGTTGTGTGTTCCCACGAAATGAACCAACTTCAGCCTTTACTTCTTAAAACAGATTTTGAAAACGGTTCACAATTATTTCCTATGTTTTGCAGGTCACCATTATTAGCCTGTGCTTGGTTGACCGGGAAAAGTCAGTGTAAAGACAAAAACAACAACATGTAAGGTTATCGAGCCAACAAAGAGGGAGATTAGTAAAACAAAAGCTGACATACATTAAAGGCTTCGTTTGCGAAACACAAAAGCCAAAAATACATCAAAGGCTTTTGGAATACTGCGAGACAAAAAGTGTTTTGTATAGAAAAAAAGAAATATTAACACTTAAAGTTTTTACATATACTGATTTGAAGTAATTAGAGAGCAAGAGAAACGAGATGGCGTCGTTTCAACCTACAAACGTGAACATTTCCAGAGACGAAAGTATTTTAAATTTTACAAAGTCCAGGAACACGGAGCCGACAAGGGAAGTTTTGACAGTGATTCAAATAACTTGTTATTCCATCATTATTGTAATCGGAACGATAGGAAACGTGATGTTAGTATTCGATTTGGCTACCAAACATTACCTCAAAACCAGCCAGTATTTTATTTTGAATCTGGCTACAGTAGATCTCTTAACTTGTGCACTGAGTATACCGTTTGATATTAGCCTGGTCGTGCTGGGTGGTTGGCCATTTGGTCCGGTAATGTGCAGGATCGTTTATCCTCTTCAAACAATCCTCATAGCTGTTTCAGTGTTTACGTTGCTGTGTATGGCAGTGGAGCGCCACCGTGCTATTCTACACCCACTAAAGCCTAAGATACCCGGGAAAGTTATAATGTTGGTGATTCTGCTTAACTGGGTTATAGCTACTGGTCTGGTGTCACCATATGCCGCCGCCCTTACGATAAAGGACGGTCACTGTGCTGAAAATTGGCCTAATAACGATCCAAGATACCCCAAAGCCTTCAGTTTATGTGTGTTCCTTATATTGTACTTGAGCCCGTTGTGCGTCATTACAGCCGCATACACTTGCGTGGGGATAAGACTTCGTGCTAACAGTCACAAGGTGGAGCTTCTCGTTGGAACTTTAAGCTGCAAGAGCCGCTTGGCCAAGTCTCGAACACAAAGAAACATCAGGATCGTAAAATTCTTTGTTTTAGCAGTGGTGGCTTTTGCTCTTTGTCTGCTGCCTTTTCAGGTCATGTGGATGTGGAGTGACTTTGGAAACGGCCAAGACTGGTCACATTTCAATGAAGTTCTTACGTTCGCTAACGTAATGGCTTACGCAAACAGCGCGGTTAACCCGTACATATTTGGTGCTCTTGGCAGTAGGTACAACTCCTACAACTGTCTTCGTCAGAAAAATCGCAAAGGGCGTTACTTTGCACGTAATACATTTCCATTTCATAGCTTCATCAGGAAAAGACGTTCTACAGGAAACAAAAAGTTATTAAAGTCGCCTGAGATAAGTGTTATAAAACGAAACAGTCCAACCCCTAATGAAAACCGAAGTAGAGGAAACAGTAATGTTACCAATGCCTTATTCGAATCATCAGTTTAAGATCAAAAGTTCATGGTTGGCCTAACATACCTCTGTTTCGATCCTGTAGAGAGTCATCAGACTCTTGGCTGACTAGATTGCATTACGTTTTAAGTCCCGCCGGAGTCGATAAGTGTATCGTTTTAGGCGTTTTCACTAAGTATTTTCACGAGTTATGCCAGAATAACAGTCAAGTCGCCCACGCCAACTCGCCTACACTTAAAATTACTTTTCTATTGCCTTCTAAGTAGTGTTTATTACTGCGAAGATCCTTCTCATATCCAGTTACTTATGCGCAGTTCATATATGATTTCCATATAATCACAGATATTAACAAACCGAAGTGTTTGGCAACCAGCATGTACCGTTAAATACGAAAACTTTGATGCTGAGATCTAAATCCCCGAACAGTCGCTTTGATTCTTTCAGGGCTCACGATATAACACAACATACAAAAAAATAAAGCAAAAGCTTTCTCACTGAAGAACCGAACAATTCCGTAGTGTAATAAGTGTCGGAAAGGTGTTGGAAAGCGTCCATAGCATCGAAGCGTTCTGATGTGACGGTTGCCGATCCTTCGGTTTGTATTGCAACGGTTTAAAGAACGCATCTTATATTACAACAACTGAAGTTTTTTGACTGATTGAAGATAAACATGTGCGGCAATGAACTACACAAGTTTTATTTTGTTAGAAAAGCACAGGATTGTTCTCTTCCGCTTCCGATCGATCAAGATAGTTGAATTTAATCATGGTCCTTGTTTTACATCACATCATAAACAATCGAAGCGATTTGCAGTATTAGGCTTATGCCTGAACTCGATCAATTTTTGTTCACTTGGAAGGTGATACCTTAAGCAATGATGTTACTACAAACTGTAACAAAGCCTCTCTATCGTTTTATACCCGGTTACTACTCCAAAAGGGTTTCGTGCTCGGGTAAGATCGGGACGACTTTTACCACTGGGGTCTACATCTTAGTGAGTGAATGAGTGACTCATTTGCATATCGGAGTCCCCATAAAAAATCATTTGCACGATTTAAAAACGAGTAATAATACTCAGCATGTTATATATTACCTAGCTGCTTCATTTCATGCGCATTTCTGAATATAAATATAATTTTTTTTACCGTATAAAATAACTAACTCTCCAAATATCGCGTGATATTTGTACTCGATTCACGCGTTGTTTGCATTCTGCTTAGTGCAGTTGGATAAAAAAAGGCTATATTGTCACCTGGCGAGACTTCAACACCATGTTTGATGACGTAACTGAAGGTCTCTAATGAAGGTCTCTAGCGTTAGGTCTCTATATCGTCATTTAGGATAACACTGCCTGACAGAGGCGAGCACGCACTGACTGATCACTCAATGTGCAACTAATTAAAAACAGCTCCATAGAGCTGAAACTGATATCTTAGATTTATTACTTTGAAGTATTTGTTAAAAAGAAACAAACGACCAATAAATTAATTGATTAACCACTCGACCAAACGACATCATGAAATAATACGAAGTGTTGGACAGAAACAGTTCCGCCCTCCCTGTTGAATTTACAACAGATACGCTCTAAAGCTCCAAGGGCTGTAAATGGAAAGACTACATAGCGAGTTACCAGTCGTTTTGTGCCCAGCTGGGTAGATTCGTACCCATACTATTAAAGTATGTTTTCCATGTTAAATATGCTTAAAGTATGAATGGAAGGGACAAATGAAGGAATTTATAAGTATAAATAGCAAAGGGAGGAAAAAAACATTCAGTCACCCTAGCTGTTACTGTCAAGGTCACAAGTATAAACACTTAAATGCTCCATTTAAAATATCACACTTGCTTCCACCAGGCAATAATTTAGTTGTTTTTGTTAAGAAGGTCACAAGTTTTCACTACAGAATTAGTCTTACTCGCTTGACTCTACAAACTTGTCGTACTCATTAATCGACATCTTTTCACGCGCTCGCGCATAATATTTCGCAGGAATGTATACTGGGATGGATACGAAACGACTGGATAACACGGTGTGTCACTAATGAGGATACAACTTTACATCAAGATGAATTTGATTCAGATGGCACAAGAGAAAATGGTCTGATGTCCTCTTGTTGACGATGAAAATGGCTTGGTGTAAAAACTGATTCGAGCTCAAAGCATACTTTTTAGCAGCTTGCGTATCAGTCTTCTCCTTTCTTTACGCGAAACGGGAGAGGTGTAAGCTAAGCAGGAGTTTACTTTACTTTCCTTCCCCTGCTCTCAATTTTTTTCTTTTCCTTTCACCGTATGCCTCGAGGTCCTTGTGAGTCCTGAAATCGGCAGAGGCAATTACAAGTTAAGCGTTTAAATCCTTGAGTTTAAAGGCGCTCGGCTTTAGGCAATTGGTGAAAACAGTATTTGGGACTGACTCAAACATTCGCACATTTAAGACGATTTGTGTTTGTCCTTTCCAATAGTTTTGACGCTTTGTTATATCCCTTCACTGCCATTTCTCTACCAACGTGAAGAGTCGTCGAGCCAACCCGAAGCTCATAAATACATTCGAGTTGGTAAAGTTCACCCGAATGTTTCCGACAGCAGCAAAAAAGGCGTGCCAACGAAAACTTTCTCAAAGAACCAAAAATGAATGGATTAGACGCACTATTAGCGTACATAAGTATATTACTGAATATGAGCACATCTTGGAAATACTTGCTGTCCCAGCCGTGCCCAAAGTCGTGCCAGATCCACGAGGCGTGTGTGGGCAGCATGCACACTAAGAATGCGCTCACTGCTACTATGAACACTTTGGTGATCCTCATTTTCTGTAGAGTGCGTTTCTTTGTGTATTGAACCTGTGACCTGTGACTGTCGACTACATGTTCAAGCCTGTCCAGTTCTTTACGTATCTTACGCCCGGCGCGAACATACGAAGACGCGATGACTGTTAGCGGAACCACATAGAAGATGGCGAAGTTAGTTAGAGTGAAAACCTTAACATACCAATCCTCGGGCCATTTCTCCATACATTGCTTTCCTTCGAGCCGTAGAACCAAAGCATAAGGTATTATTACCAGAGAGGGTATGAGCCATGACACCCCAATGACAAACTTCGCTGTTCTAGGGAGCACTTTCGGACGCATAGGTGTCATGACAACCCTGTGTCGCTCCAAGCTCATGGACAATAATGTTATCACAGACACAGCCATTAACACAGTTTGAAACGGGTAGATCATATAGCAAAGTATTGAACCAAATGGAAAACCACCTGAGAGTCGCTCAGCTAGATCGAGAGGAATGCTTATGGCACATGTGGCGAAGTCCGTGATGGCCAGGTTTAAAATGAGATATTCTCCAACTCTTCGCGTTTGTCGGCCAAGTAGTGTGACCACGATCATTGTGTTACCCACTAAGCCAACTAAAATAATCGCAAAATAAAGCACCAATTGCACAATCTCGATCGCTGAAAATCCAGCGGTTTCTTCATAATCCGTGGCGTTTCCCGAAGTTTTGTAAAACGCGGTCATTTTTATGACGGCGGTGATATTCTTCAGCGATTATATATATAGTGTTTGCTTCTTTCTGTAGAGAAAACAGAGGGCGTAACCCTGTCAAAATCAAAGAAGCTATTATCCACCTCACACATCTTTAAATCTATTCAGAAAAAGTAGCTTCGCGGAAGATTGAAGAAAAATAAGATATTTAAAAAGTCATGGAACAAAAAAGCATGGGCTGACAAATTTGATAAAACGAAGGCTTACAAAGCAATCCAGGAATCCCTCCCAGGGAATTATAAAGGGGAGATATATTGGAATTCAAGATAAGGTGCATTGAAACCTCTGCATAAAATAGAGGAAATAATGCATGATCGTATAATTTTGGTCACTAATACAGATTTGGTCGTGTTCTAAGATCCTTCGCGTAAGAGAAGAATTGAAAAGTATTGTTGTCTGTGATACGGACTAACTTTGCGGAAGTCATTGTCCGAGTCAAGTGAGGAGTTGTTCGTCTGTTGACTGTCATCCAACTCTGGCTTAAGAAACGAAACTAAATGATCAGTTAGCGTTTCAGTCAAGTGTGCAGTGAAACAGGATCAATAGACATAGCTCTTGAATGTTATAAGGGTGACAAATAAAACAAAACAAAACAAAAAACAGTGCACCCCAGTTTTAACCCTTAGTTGAAGTTTTACATAAGACTGTAAGATTCATTTGAAAGATCATTTAAACAGTAAATTCCTTTCACACCACCAGCTTAGTGCAAGAAAACAGGCAAGCGTACAGGAAAGCTTTGATCAATTCCTAATTATCATTTATCAGTATCTCAAACTGCCCAACTCCGACTTCCTATGTCTGACGAATAAAAGAATCTACAATCTGTTGCCTCCTTTCTACTCCCTAATTAAAACGCAAGTTCAACATTTCAACTATCTCTACTCGTTTCGTTTTACCGTTTTAACTTCTCACGTACAGTGAGACACAATACAATAGTGGAATTAGCTTCTGTATCACTAATCATTAGTGGTGGCCTAAGAGGTTTCCGTGAACCGTCACTTTTGATATGTATTATGATAAGCAGTTGTAAATTCTTCCTATGAATATATAAGCAATTAATTTATGTAAGAAATATTCAGCTGATTTTTCATGTCTGCGAAATTAACTCTAGGGAGGCCTCGTTGTCTGCAATATGTATAAAAATCAGGTTGTTAAATAGATAATACTATCAATAACTTAGACATCGGAAAAGAATCTCGTAATTCGACTTTGGTAAAATTAGCCTGCTGCTACAACCCTGAGCACAATTACTGAAACATTTCTTCCCGGCTTTCCATTTGAAAACGTCAACAGGCTCAATATACCTTCGCTCTCCGCTTTCTCGCAGTCTGGGGTAATGTTTCTCTTAACCTCATCCCAGCCCTAGCATTTTATTTTTTGAAAACTAATCACTTGTAAGTTTAAATCCTTACTACATGGGCCAATTGTGAAAAAAAAGAAACAAAAAAAAAAAAACGATCGAACCACAACAGAATGTGTGTCCGTAGACAACAAACAACCTTCGAAAGTCTTCTTGTCTTTACCTGAGATAATTTCAGTTTCAGAAAGAGTAAAAATCACAATAAGTAAAGTATTTGTGCGCATACACATCAACGCCTGGCCGCTTAAATGACTAAGAAGTAGGCTGTTCTATATGAATTCTGCACAAGGTATAGGATTAACAGTAATTAAATATTTTTCGTTCGAACAGCTGTTGGCAAGTTTAACTACTATTTGTGTTTCCTCCTCCACCTCTTCCATACCTTGAACTGTAAGGTATGACCCAGTGGGAACGATTGAGTTTTAAATAGAGAACTGCATCGCAGGAATTAATTTCAGGGCTCAGCTAAATTAATAGTAACACATCGATCAGACCTTGGCTAAAGTTATTAAAAAGACAAAGCCCTCTCGACTTATGAATATCTCATTGTCTTTCTTGGAAGTTCAGTAAATTAGAAAAAGACAAAGGAATTGAAATGTATGTAAGGCTGATCACTTTAGAACAGTTCTGGCGGTCTCGGTAGAGCAACCGTGACGGCTTCACAGCGTAGGCAAACGGTACAAGTCAGATTTGACTTACTCTCTTCACAACAGAATGGCTTAATACGATCGAGAGAAAGCTGCTCACATCTTCCTGCGTTCTTCAAGAGTTATTGATAGAAAAATTGAACCATTTTTAAATATGAGGGAAATGACCAGTAGCACAAAGCTTAAAGAAGTGAAATTAAACTAGTTATATTAAAGAAGTGAAATTAAACTAGTTATAAAAGTAATCTGGCCGACTTATACGCAAACGGAAAATTTCGACCAATTATTTCGACGCAGCAACATAATTAAAGATTCTTATTAAATTTTGTATGGTAAGAATACATACGTATCCACCAAGGACTTCGAATCGAGCTTCTTTTTTGGCCCTGTCGGTAGTTAGAAGCTTTTTTTTTTGCTGTTAGAGTGGGAGTGACTTTTCAACGGATACTCTTAGGAGCTGTTCCCAACCTTACTCCATTCTCAGTTCCATTTGCCAAGTTCGCTGTTGATGTATTTAATGAGCTATAGCTAGCGGCAGCTGTGCGTCTACAATAAACAAATTTCCCAACGTAGAAAAAAAATTAATCTATCACAGTTGTGTATTTATGCATTTGGCAGTCTTGGCGCCACCGCATGACGGAGTTTCGGAGGAGTGAACAATTATGGCACCTTGTTGAGAACGCCAACGGATTATATTGAAAAGTTGAACCTTGTAAATAATTTAAATCAAAGCGGAGCTAAACAAATCCCTTTTTACATTTTCATGAGTTAGTTAGGGTGGCCATGGGTGGCATTTTAGGCAAATAAATTTGCCGCGGAAATTATTCTCCCTCACGTCAAACAGTGTGCATCACGTTTCTACTTCTCGAACGAACTGAAGATGAAAAGGAAAAAGATCTCTGCAAGCAAACTCTTTTGTTCAACTTTGCTATGAAAATAAACCCTAGATTAAAAAAAAATGAAGGTAAAAAAATGAGATGGTTTAATCAATGCCTTTAGGGAGAGGCACACTGAATATGTAAAACCAACATCAAAGCGGCCGGTACATAAAGTTGCTCCTTTCTTTTCGAGATAAATTAACCAAAAGACTTGTGTTAAAAATGGTAGCGTAAAATTCTATATTCAGAAAAAAAATTCAACATGGCAAATTAAAAGCAAAGTACCTTTTAAATAGTCGGGAAAAAGCTAGCAAATTTGTATTCCCTGCTGGTCTTTACTGAAAATGTTTTTTTTAATAGTTTTGCATGAACTTAAAGGAGAACACTCTGCATTTGATTCTTTATGCCTTACATTTCATGTCCGGTTGTCATTTTCTTTTCGTCTTCATAGGGGCCGTGTCTCTCTTTTAAATTGGCTTCATGTCAAAGTAATAGAATACATATCCGAAAGTACCGGTTGCGCTCCTTCCTCAAAAAAAAAAAAAAAAATCATGATTAAAAAAATGAAAAAAATTTGTTTCATAATAGAAAAAAGTGCGTTACCCTTTCTGGAGCTTCATTTATTTTCTTTGTAACTCATAGAGATACTGATAAACAAATGAATAAAAAAGTAAGTACCGTACTGAGCTAAAGTACTAAAACTTGCAACAATTCGTTGAGCTCGCATATCGCAGCCAAATATTTTTGAAGTAGCAAATTTTGAACTCTTTATTCCGGATCTGTGTGGCTTTAAATAGACATGTTAATTTGTCATCCATTGTTTTACTGTGGAACTTTCGCGGGCGAAAAATTTTTAAATTATAGATGGCCGAAGGAAATTGTATTTCATTAAAAAAAGGTGATATAACTGCAGCATCGTGAAATCTCTTCACTCGGTTGAAAAGCAATTCTTAACTCTTACGCTTCATGAGAAAAAAATAGTAACTAGACTAATAAAAAACTACAGATAAACACATACATCTCCATTATAAACAGTTCATTGTTAGAGGAACCTCTTAAAGCAGATCTCTAGAGTTTGGTCTCGAGGACTACACTATTACCAATTTCGAACTCGCACCGGCAAAAACGACCGCATCAAATGGGCTATAACTGACCTCCAACTAAATCATAAACAAAATAGAATGTAAATTTCAAAGGCCAAGAATTCCGACAACGATAAACAGTCCATTCATATTAAACGACTGATAACCCTTGCCTGACTACAGACAAACCTTCTTGGCCAGTAAAACTTTTCCCAACATCAAACATCTCGTTCAAATACGTAAACGTTTATACCTACTGGTGTTATAAAACCTTCGCTTGAGAGCCTTGAAGATTACGTCTATATCAAAAAGAGGCAGTATAGGAAAACTGCGACATAAAACCTTGCAGGCGAATACACCAGCCCAGCTGCCCTTAATAAACATGTGGGTATAAAACAATATACCCTTTCAACCGGTAATCGACGCCGACTAGTATGGACTTACGTTCATCTGAATGGTTAGCATGGCAACCTTGTTAAGTGTTGCAATTTGAGGAATTGTTTTAGACTTGCACTTATAAAAATCAACCCGTTCTGCTCAATCAACCCTTTAAAGAATTACGCGAATTTTAAGCGATTTTCGCACCAAACTGAAATAAACCGCTTAACATGGTTCTTTTAAAAAACAGTGTTATCTTTCAACTTCAAGTGAAATTTGACATAGCAATTGATAGATTTTGATAATCATCTTGCCTTCGTGCGAGACTGCTGGGAACAAACGTGCGAGGAAATTAATTATTCATTGTTGAAATATTACAAATATATTTATTGAGTTGGCATAGAGATTCTCTCTATGATACGCCTACAATACATCGGGTTTGTGAAGGTTCTGCCTCCTACCATATATACAATCAATAAATGATTCATCATTTTTCAAGGGATTGACAAATGCTGTGGTCCAGCTACAGTGAGAGCGCAGTAATTATTTATTTTTAATTGGTTCATTTTCAAAAGGTGATCTCCGTCCGCGAAATATATCCACTCCATCGTTTTTTGCTTTATCTTTCGATTCAAAATGTAAACCTCTGTTGCTTTTCAAAGATAATTAGTGTCGGCTCAGTCTCCCTTCAATTGAGCCCACTATTTAAGTTTCATTTTGCTTGTATGACTTTTTCGAGGCTAACGGATTATTTGAACACTCTTTTTTTCATACTGAATAATTTATTTTAAGAAAGTACCTCGGAACCGCCTGCTGGGGCATAACGCAACACTGCTCCTTATTGTCAATGTGGTATGATAAATTACTCTTGTTCCGAGTGATTCACGAGGTGAACACAGGGAATCAAACAAAACAAAACGAGGACTGGAATAAGTGAAAATGGGAAATATTTCTTTATTCTTCATCGCCTCTGTCGATTGCTTAAAGATCCTCGTATCAGAGGACAATCAGTTTTCCTTTTCCAACCATTAGATCAAGGATGTATTTTTCTAATGGTATGGTTATTAAGGTGCACAGCATATGTTATAGTCAAGTTTGAGCTTTATATTTCCTTACTAGAAATAACAACATCAGTAACAATAACATACGAAAAAATAACGAAACTTACATTTCTGTTGTGGGTGTTCTCGTGTTTCCGTGCTGATGCTTATTCTTCAGCGAAAAGAAATCTTACATTGTTTTTCAAAGTCTCGTTCGCAAGAGAACGCTGTTCCACCTTTTAATGGAAAATCCAGCACCCGTTTGAGAGTCTCATATGTCATAAAATCTGGAGAAAATGGCCAACTTAGCGAAGCACTTCCGACGATACCAGGTCATGCGGTCATTTGCATGCCCATGAGTAGAAAAATAATTTAAATCCAATTCTTCAAATCGCAAAAACGTCCACCAGCAAAGAAAATGACTTTGAAATTAGAGCACACCCCAAAGCAGCCAGTGTGTCTAGAATAATGGTCTGGCTCGAGGAGAATAGTGCAATTTAAGACACAGTAAACAGTCTCTTTACGAAAAGTGAACTCTCCTTACCTGGGAAACGCTGTGGGCCCTTATTCTCTCACTTGCCTCAATCCCTACGGTGTTTTTAGAGACGTGCTTTGTCGAGTTGAGCTCTATCAGATAAGCGAGTTTTATCTTACAGCACTTCCATTACCTTCGCTGTCTCTCTGAGTTCCGGACAAACACATGATCCATTCAGAAACTGAACCAAAAACACTCTATACATCCCATGACGCACCTTTAAATACACTTTGGTACATTAAGTCGACGAGCATCAACCACTTTCGCTGTTCGGTTTACAAAATTGCGTGGGAGGTGAAATTCCGTGTCCTTCAAATTCACTAATCGAAATTATGAAGTTTACAGCCGGGAGAAAAGTTCAAAAGTAATAAAGGTTTAAAAAAAATCACTTATTAACTAATTCTAGGAAGCCGAGATGAATAAATTAGGTAAAAACACGTATGATAAAGTCGGTCACGTTCATCTCTGAGAAGAAAAGAAAGTTTCATAATCAAAACCAGATAGACGTATGTAGACGTTTAATGATAGAATATATATAAATTTAAACTTATCAATTTATGAATCCAATTTTACACAATTAATTGGTAAATGACTTCCTTTAAATTTTTCGACAGGTGGTTGAAAAGATGAGTCAGTAGTTTTTAAGAAAGAGAAAATCTGAATAAACCAAGCTAAGACAAGTCGAACAATTTTCTCTCGGGAAATGTAGATTTTCAATTTTTCTTTTTGGGTTTTCCAACTAAATTAGTACCAGAGAACGTGTCACGAAGAAAAGTTAATTTAAGAGGCCATCTTTTTCAGTTCGTGGGGTTGTTTAGGACACAAATGAGGTCGTTAATCTTCAATTTAATAGAGGCCGTGGGATTAATTACATAAGTAAAGTTGTAGCCATATTTGGGTGTTTTTTGCATGAGATATTTCCGATGACGCAGACTTTCTTCACGCGGGTTCACGTCATTTAGTAACGTAAATACAATTGATTAATTTTGCGACAGTGTTACGCTCTCGGTGACGGCAACAATTAAAGGTTGCATTCCCGTTAGAAAGGAACAACAGATACATTTATATCCCACAACGGAAGACAAGTTTTAGATTCGTTGACGTAAGTTAGCTACGTTTGATGTTTGCGGGGAATTCTCAGTAAAAACACCAAAACATGAAAAATTGACGGTGAAGTGTTCAAGCAGCATTATGGCTTGTCCGTTTGCTAGTCTAACTGGTCTTCTAATAACAAAACTGTTATTATAAAATGTCCATAATGAATAGAAATAGTTCAATAACACAATGCATGTGCGTAGAAGTGAAATACACCTAAGTGGACGTTAAATGAAAATCATAAAACTTTGTTGGGTACTGGTGTTTGACTGGATGCTAGGCAGTGATAAGCAACAAAAGAAGAGCCTTTTTCAGTTCTGCTCCCACTTCCCGTCCTCCAATAGGTCCCGGTTTCCGCCCTCCACATCTTAAGCATGTGATCGTATCTATGCTTATTAAGTCTTAAGGACATCTTTAGAAACAATCAGTAAACAGGTCGAGGTACATTCCTCGTTCCTATTTGAGGTCCAAGTCTTGGTCTTGGTCTTGGTCTTGGCAAAGTTCCGATCTTTTTATCCCTACCACAAGATGTACCAGTGTGAAGATAAGTTTTTATTGTATTTAACTGCCATTTAGACGTAGAAAACTGATCTAGATTCCTTTCAAAGTTTGAGTTATATTCTCAACTTCCAAAAAGCAATAAATTTCCTCTTATACTTGATGTATTATAGTATGTGGTCGGTGGTCGGTCACGCGAATATTACGTTGAAAAACTAAAATTCTGAGTTCAATCACAGCGAACTTTGTTGCAATTTTGAATTTTTTGAAAAGCCGTCCGATTAACGAAAAAGTTGTCTCTCTAGTGAGGTAAGCGATAAAGAAAACCGTTTTTTGCTCGTCATCCGTTAGGAGAGGGCATTATTCATTGAATTTAAGACGGCCATTTTGTATTCTCTCTTCGGAGCCATCTCACGAAGTCATCAGACGTACAAATGACATCAACAGACTCATAGGAAAGATTTAAGACCCTCAAGATGCCACCCATGATCAGCAAACTGTAAGCACTGCCTATATCTCTGGAACTCCTGGATGTGGAAAAACTCGACTCGGCCAAGAGTTCTTTACAACAAAGCGCGACATTGACGGCCTTACATTTGTAGCGACACTGAATACAGAAGGCATCGAGACTATTGCTACATCTTATATCACCCTCGGTAAACATCTGGGAATCACCAGATATTCCCTGAAGAAACTTGAAACCTCACGCAGAGAAAGTCCGTCGGAGAAAATTCAGTATCTCAAGCTTTTAATCTTGAAAAAGGTTAGGAAGTTCTCAAAATGGCTAATAATAGCTGACAACGTTGTCGCATTAAGTGTTGTTCGCAGTTTCCTTCCCCAAACCTCCAGCGAGGAATGGGGTCACGGTCAAGTGTTGTTCACCTCTCTAAATGGAAGTTCCATTCCCTGTAATACTAAACATACCTATCATGAGTCATTCAGCCAAGGAATGGAGGAAGACAAAGCGGTTAACCTTTTGAAATGCATATAGCAAATTTCTGATGAGGAGAAAGCAAAACAAGTTGTTAAATTAAAGCCCTTGCGTATCAGTCTCTGGCGTTATCTGCTGCTGCCTTTATTTCCAAACTGTTGTAGTGACTAGATCTCCTGATTACAGTTGGGCAAATTAGTTCACCGTTTTGATGCAAGGAACGAGGAACTTCTAGCGAAGGAGAGCCCAGCCTGACCCCAAAAAATGACAACTGCCATAAGGATGGCTCTGAAAAAGGCGATTGAAAATGACAGAGTTCTTCGCCAGACATTTATTTTCCTTTCACTCGGTGCCCCAGGATCTATACCAGCTGAATCTGCTGTGGAATATGTCAGCAGTCATATTGTAGAGTTACCAGAGGAGTCAATCGAGTCAAAGATTTCTCGATCTTCTGTTTCTTTTCTCGACCAACGGTCAAGGTACCAAATATATGAGGTTACATAACACTGTAAATAACATACTTACAGAACGTTCGATTTTAAATCTGAAATCGGCAGAAATCTATCGAAACATCGACACAGCTAAAAAAATTTTTCACGATCTGATTCAATCAGAAAATAAGCAACAACATGACGAGGGGTACACCTATGCCCTTCTAAATAAAGTGAAATCTCACTGTAAGGCACTAATTCATTGCGTGGCATCTCAGTTCACCTCGCTGGAAGGTGCTTTTCAGGAGGAATCGGTTTGCCTTAGTGGATGCGCTCTTCTGCAAGAACTTGCTCGATAAAGGGAACTTTCAAGAAAGCAGTCTACCAAAACCATGTTGAAAGTGGGGGTCACTTGGAGGAATTGTTCACACAAACATTGGAAAATTTCAGCAAGCCAAAGGAGTGTTCGAAAAGGCGTCAACCATAAGGAGTTGGGTAACGTTTTCAATAAAAAACCCGACAGTTGCAACCCACTCTTGATGACCTTTAAATACAGCCTTTGGCAGAACTGTATAAGGGCTTGGGAACGGTTTACTATTGCACAATCAATTTACTGTTGCACAAACAACAGTCAGGTCATAGAAGAGTTTAAAAAGGCCTTGGTGATTCTAAAAATGACTTACGGCGAAGACAATCCCACTTTGTTATAGTTTACAGCCATATTGGAAAATACAAAGAAACCAAAGATCTGTACAAAAAGGCGCTGCACATTCTGGCCAAAATCTGAGGCAAAGAATATGTTTACATAGTAGATACGTATTTCCTGTTAGCAAATGCAAGCACTCATAATAAAGAATATGAGACAGCCAAAGAGCTACACGCTAAAGCACTTGAGGTGCAGAGGAAGATAAGTGGTGTAGAACATGTTGGTCTTGCCTATAGTTATGACGGCCTCAGGGACGTCTAATATAGCTTGAACCAAAACGACACAGCCAAAGAGCTGCACGAGAAGGCGTTAATGATTCAGAGGAAAATCGTCGGTGAAGAGAACGCCAATGTACCAACAACTTATAGCAAGCTAACGAAAAAGCAATAAACGATACCGAAAAACATTTTCGGCGAGGAGCATCGTGATGTAGCGACGGGCTATTACAATTTAACAAACGTGTACCAAGAAATTGGGGAATACAAAGAAGCCATGTAGAACTATACGAAAATTCATTTGTTAGCTAGAGGAAAATCTACCATTTAATAGCCTTTCTCCTTTGCTATCTTTCCTAAGTTTGTGTGCTTTTAGTTCTTAGGAATTTCTAAAACTATTGTCACACTTACTGCATATAAAAGGCCGATCCCAGCTGCTCCGTACTTCCTGGCACTCGAGTGGTAAGGTTGCTCTTCCGTGTGAATCGTTTTCCATATCCAATACATTTGTGAGGTTTCTCTCCTGTATGTGTTCTTCTCACAGTAAGTACATATATATAACTTTTCCATGACAACCCCTGGTTCATGGCGAGATCTTTTCCCATGAATCCTGACAAGAGCCTCTTAATGGCATTCTGTCTTTCACTTTACCATCTAGTTTGAATTTGGCATTTTATGTTCATGATACATTTAACAGTTTAAATGTTCACTTTGTTTTCTTCTTGTGGTGTTCAACTTCATTTCAAATGGAAGAAAAAATTGCCATCAGTATTAACCCTTTGTAGCATGAGATCAGTATGTTTAT